TTTAAAATGCATGGGTAAAATACCTACAACACCAAAAGCTTATCTGGAGCTCTGTATATGTAATCACAGTAATCTAGTTTTGACTTATTAATAGTCAGTTTATGTTGCTTAGTCCCTTTGATCTGAATTTTGGTTGGGATTTTACTGTAATTGTCAACTTGAGGGTTATCTACGTTATTAAATCATCAGTGAAAATTGTCCATGTTCTCTTTCACGATCACCATATTACACTAATTACATCTATAGTATAACATCCAGAGCTGATCTAGGAAAACGGGCATATTGTCTCAGAACATTCAGCCTCTTCAGTCATTAGTATGTGGTGGATTCTGCTTGTTGTGATTAGTGACCATCTGCTGTAGGATCAACACTGGTGTAAGCAATTCACATGGACCTGATGTATGAATGCGTCCGTGGCAAGCTTGTCCGCCCAGGGCCCCGCTCCACTAAGCAATCTTAGAGCTATTATTGTTGTGAGTCTATGTTAAAGTTGGGAAGTGATGATCATCTTAGCTCTTAGATCTTTTCGAGGATCAAAATGTGACAATCCTGTAAGGCCAGTATTTGGCCATCACATGTGTCCGTGACAAGCCCGTAAGGCCAGTATTTGGCCATCACGTGTGTCCGTGACAAGCGTGTAAGGTCTGTATTTGGCCATCACATGTGTCCATGACAAGTCTGTAAGGCCAGTATTTGGCCATCACATGTGTCCATGACAAGTCTGTAAGGCCAGTATTTGGCCATCACATGTGTCCGTGACAAGCCCGTAAGGCCAGTATTTGGCCATCACATGTGTCCATGACAAGTCTGTAAGGCCAGTATTTGGCCATCACATGTGTCCATGACAAGTCTGTAAGGCCAGTATTTGGCCATCACGTGTGTCCATGACAAGTCTGTAAGGCCAGTATTTGGCCATCACATGTGTCCATGACAAGTCTGTAAGGCCAGTATTTGGCCATCACATGTGTCCATAACAAGTCTGTAAGGCCAGTATTTGGCCATCACATGTGTCCATGACAAGTCTGTAAGGCCAGTATTTGGCCATCACATGTGTCCATAACAAGTCTGTAAGGCCAGTATTGGGCCGACATGTGAAATAACCTGTAGATGACAAGGGGAGGTGGGTGGGGGATGTATGTAATTATATTGACTAATGCTGGGACTGCAGTCAACTAACAATCACAAGGTCTAGACGGAGACTCACTGAGGCTCCAGGTCAACTTCAAGTCCTCGGCATAGGCAGTTTTATAATATGTTTCTACAGCCCACGACCCCCTTGTTCAAACCCCGTCATGGCTGGCCTTTGTTTAGATGTTGTGGAGCCTGTCTAAGGAGTGTCTCTGTCGGAGACTTAATTTGCTTGCTGGCCTGCCCATCGGGGCCATATCAGATGAACTGGACTGTAGGTCATGGTGGTGGAGGCATACAGAATATAACGGGGGATGTGTTGCCTTTGCTAGAGAATGTTCAGGAGATTCCTCTTTTTTGAATTCTCAAAATGTGGTTCTTTTTAGAATATATCTTATTTTACATTCATGTTAAAGGTGACAGAATTACTTTGAGGCATTATACCATGTGGTTGGCCAATCATGACATTGTGAAATGGGTCACAAATTAACGATATATCATGAATATGACGACACTTGGCCCCACATACCTGTGTCATAAGTGGTCCCCAGTGATGACACATGGCCCCACATACCTGTGTCATAAGTGGTTACCAGTGATGACACATGGCCCCACATACCTGTGTCATAAGTGGTCCCCAGTGATGACACATGGCCCCACATACCTGTGTCATAAGTGGTCCCCAGTGATGACACATGACCCCACATACCTGTGTCATAAGTGGTTCCCAGTGACGACATGGCCTAACATGCCTGTGTCATAAGTGGTCCCCAGTGATGACACATGGCCCCACATACCTGTGTCATAAGTGGTCCCCAGTGACGACACATGGCCTAACATGCCTGTGTCATAAGTGGTCCCCAGTGACGATACATGGCCCAACATACCTGTGTCATAAGTGGTCCCCAGTGACGACACGTGGACCCACATGCCTGTGTCATAAGTGGTCCCCAGCGACGACACATGGCCCCTCATGCCTGTGTTTGCCGCAGGCCATATAGACCTGCCTGAGACAGTGTTCTGTGTACAGTGGGAATCCACACTATGTGCATTGCCGGGTCTCGTTATTATACACATCATTAACTGCACAATGGCTTTCACCTTTACAATATGGCGCTACAGCGGTATATATTTTATTTCTTATCAATGCAAGGATAGGGTCGGCCTAGACACTAATCCTAGCCCTCCAAGTAACCTACCGATTATGTGGAAATAATTCATTGTTTGGTTGAAAAAGTTACGTGTTTAATAACACAGCCGTGTTTGAACTGTAGTCACGGTAGTTAGCATGAATGAAATTATGGAAGGTATACACTAGGCGGAGATGTGATTTGTGTGATGCTCTGTCCTACAGATGGAATGTAAGTATCTGGTAGAAACAACAAACATGTGGACCTACTGGTGAGGCAGAGTTTAAGAATCATTCAGATATGCCCCTGTTCAAATAAACAATTAAACGTTGACCATGCACGAGATGAAGGAAATCACCCACTCTCTAATGAGAGAATCAACAATATGAAAGTGAGGTGTGAAAAACAGTGTGGTAATGTTTAAACCTGAGATTTGGGACAACCAAAGAACTCTTCCTAGAAAAAGCGTTGTAAGTTTGTCGTGAGTTTAATTGTGAGTTTTAACATTGGATCGGCAAAAGGTTGAAAATAGCACACATACTGGGGCCCTTGCTCTCAGCCTGCTGGAGAATACACAGATCTGTGGCTCCCCGGGCCGATCCACTCCAACCTCCGAGAGGGCGGATAGGTCGCAGGCCTCGACAATCACACCTCCCAAACCACCAGTATTCACTTCAAATTCATACCGGACCTATTATTCAAGATCCACCAAATCATATATTTATGATATACAAGGAAAATATTTGAAGGAGATATAGACTTTGTGGTTTGGCTGGCAGCTGTTAAGTTGGCCCTCCTGCACATTCCTCAAATAGACCCGGCTTGAGGTATACATTCATCATGGGGTGCTCCTTGCGATGGGCAGGGAGTGATAAGCGTTGTGGCTTTTAGGAGTAGAGCTAGCATTGAGGTTCCCTGTCTCAAATTCACTGATAGCGCTAGACCCTATTGCAGACTGGTGCCTCGCTGTCGCGTAGCTATCACTCTTCTCTTCCCTTATGTCGCCCTCTTATAGCGTGCAAGCTGGGACACACTCCTCTCACTCATTATAACACAAGCTGTTATATTTTCATTAACATGATCAGAACTTTTGTAGTATTGAAGAATGTGGATTAAGTTAAATGTGTGTTATTTTTATTATGTGAAAAATACTTTATTGACAGAGTTATTGCACATTGAAGATGTTGCTTGTTTAACTTGAGTGTTCAAACTGTGTGTACCAAGAAAATGATTCATACATTGTCTGTTTGTTGGAGAATTTCTGAGCCTGTGTCTTCTGTTCCTCACAAGAATGTGTGATTACTAGGTGTTACGATCTCATCCAGGAAATGTTGTAACTTTCAACTTTGAAACTAGGACTTGAATACCTTGGCTTGAACTAGCTGGATCCTTGATCTGTGATGGCCGGGCAGGTTGAACAGTTTCCACACGCATCTCACAGGACAATAGCACAACGATTTGGATACAGTTAGGAAAATTATGTAGCAAATAAAATAGTTTATAAACTTGTTGTTTTTCCGTGTTATTGTTTTGGCAAGAAAAAGCAAAAATTTGATGTAGAATAAATTTGTAAAAGTTGACAAAAGTGTGGAAGGCAATACCACCTGGGGGTGGGATGGGGGAAGTCTTCAGTCCGTGTGGACTGGTCCCTGTATCTCATGTGGGAGTGATGTCCAGCGTGCATGTTGTTGGGCTCTTTGGTCAGTATGTAGGTATGCTACTGTCAGTCGTTCAAACGTCGTCTTGTGTGGTAGTGTTAGGCTCTTCTCCTACTTCTCATGGTGTATCTCTGTTCACTTTTCTGTTGTATCTCTATTCACTTTTCTGTTGTATCTCTATTCACTTTTGTATCTCTATTCACTTTTCTGTTGTATCTCTATTCACTTTTCTGTTGTTTAACTATTCACTTTCCGGTTGTATCTCTATTCACTTTTCTGTTGTATCTCTATTCACTTTTCTGTTGTATCTCTATTCACTTTACTGTTGTTTCTCTATTCACTTTCCTGTTGTTTCTCTATTCACTTTTCTGTTGTATCTCTGTTCACTTTCCTGTTGTTTCTCTATTCACTATCCTGTTGTTTCTCTATTCACTTTCCTGTTGTTTCTCTGTTCACTTTCCTGTTGTATCTCTGTTCACTTTTCTGTTGTTTCTCTGTTCACTTTCTGTTGTATCTCTATTCACTTTTGTATCTCTATTCACTTTCCTGTTGTTTCTCTATTCACTTTTCTGTTGTATCTCTATTCACTTTCTGTTGTTTCTCTATTCACTTTCCTGTTTCTCTATTCACTTTTCTGTTGTGTCTCTATTCACTTTCCTGTTCTGTCTCTATTCACTTTCCTGTTCTGTCTCTATTCACTTTTCTGTTGTGTCTCTATTCACTTTCCTGTTGTGTCTCTATTCACTTTCCTGATGTATCTCTATTCACTTTATGTGAAGCTGAATTCAGGTGTGTCCCTGCTGTGATATAAACTGGAATATTGCTAAAAACAGCATAATAATCTACCCATTCTCATGCTTGTTTTCTAACTCTCTCTCTCTCACTCACTCCGTCACTCACTCACTCACTCCACCACTCACTCACTCACCAGTGTGTATCCCTATCCACTTTGTGGCTGTATCAGTATTGTCCACCATGTTGTATGTTATGTTATCACACAGTTCTAGTCTTATTATCCATAGCCACATGCTGTAGCCTTTATTCATCTTGACTTGTACTGACTGTGCTCTTCTGTGTATTTCAGACAGCGTGAATGCCATGAGCGGCCCTCACTGGTGCAACATCGCCTACTGGGAGCAGCGGCAACGCGTTGGCCGACTCTTCACAGTATTCGAACCCAGCATTAGCATCTTCCAAGTTCTGCCACACGGAGACGGCATGTGTCTGGAGATACTACAACAGGACTCGAACTTAGAATCTGTGCGACGGACTCGAGAGAAGATAGGATTTGGTATTATCCTCAGTCAGGAGGGGGACGGTGTGTGGGTGTATAACCGCTCCCTCTTTCCGATCTTCGTCAACTCTCCAACGCTGGAACTTCCCAATTCTCGGATGTTAGTGGTTCGGAAAGTCATGCCAGGATATTCAATCAAAATGTTCGACTATGAGGAGGCGGAGGCGTTGGAACGAACTCGTGACCCCCTGCAGTACGATGGGCCGTATGACCCAAGCTCAATTCGGATCAGTTTTGCCAAGGGATGGGGCCCGTGTTACTCCCGCCAGTTTGTGACTTCATGTCCATGTTGGGTGGAAATACTTTTAAACATTAACAGGTGATAGTGGCTAGGATTGGGACCGAAAGGTCTTGGAATTGCGTCACAACTCTGGGCATTCAAACTAAAAGTGTCCCCCTCCCCTCCACCCAGGGGTGAAGAAGCACCTGCTCCAGGGGAGGCTTGTGATGATTGTGCATGGGATGAGGCTTGCGTGGGCCTCGGCTTTCAGTCCTCCTCACCAGGAGGACCTGATACCTCATCTGGTCCTAACTGACCCTCCATGGCCCAGGTCCTCCAAGCTGCGTCCCATAGCATGATACCAAAATGGCGGCCCCACTTGGGGTCTTCGGAAAGAAACGGGTCTAACGTACTGCTTACTGGATTATTGTTAGCATTTCAGTGTGGCCCTGTCCTTGGACAGGGTCAGAAGTGGAAAATTGGGATTTGCCCACGATTTAAGTATCCGAAAAAAAACCTGCATAAAATGATGGTGCAGAGGTGGGCGTGGATCAGGCCGATGACGCCAGCCTCATTTCCATACAAAGTGCCTTCTTTGTCAATGTCAAGGTCACGTACATCTCGCTATGCAGAAAACAAGTCAACTGGCCGTGTTATAAATCGTGAATATTTCCCATCATGCAATAACAGATGCCCAGGCGGAAGCAGGAAAAGAAAATACTAGTTACCTCCCTTGAATACTGAACTACCTACATACATACCTATATGAAATATGTATATATGCAGAAATCAAATTAACTGGGCCTGAAGTGGTCCAAGAAATGGTACGTGAACGGAGGGCAAAAACAAATGAGCCCAGTTATAAATATTTTATATAAGCATACCATGTGCCTGTGTATACGTGTCTCTGTACATACGGTCCAGACATTTTTATCATGTAATTTATGACATCAGAAGTGCAATGCATTTGGCACTTTTTATCCTGTTGAAATACAAAATAGATATGGAATTGTGGGAATGTTGTGCCAAGACCAATGGTGTGCAATTCTTTGTCAACACGAGTTGTGTAATTCAATTATGCCCTCTTCAGCTCTACTACACTTCCAAGGGAAGTTTTATGTTTGAAGGTTGCCATGGTAACGGAATGTTTTTGTTGCCATGGGAACGCTACCTGAGACAATGTGCAAGTATTTTTAACTCTCACAAGCAGCCGATTCAAGACTTGGTAAGGTTTTAACATCAGGCTTTGTTTTGTTTTGACATTTGTTTTACATGTGTTGTGTTAAGAGTTTTAGATGCTACCCATTTGACAGGTCCATTTTCAAAAGTTATTGGGAAAAACTGACTTCAAGTCATTGTTGTCATGAATGTGCTTGAAGATTAGAATTTCCCGATGGAGTTTCAAGGAGTTTTACTACAAAAGACTGCAGTGTTAATGATAATATTTCCTCTGTAGTCTTGACTCGGCTGTTTGTTGACGTTTTAGCAGCATTTTAATATGAATCTACCTCATTAGCTGGCGTCAATGTTCTGTTACTGCTATGTTATATGTTTGTTACCTCACACACACGGCAGGCCCCCGAGGGGTGGGGCAGCCACATTCTGCCTATCACCCAAGGGCACCAGCATGGGTGGGCTGTAAGAGAAATTGTGGCTGAAGGTGTCCAAATTTGAAATGATTTGATAAAACTGTTTGAATGAATTTTAAATTTTGAAAATTGTTTTTTTTTGTACATTGTACAAAGCAACTGTTATGAGTTCGATGTTGTTGGTGCACGGTGTGTGCATGGTGAAATGGACTGCCTCCTTCACACAGACTGGCTGCACAGCACTGCTACCTCCAGGCTGGCCTCATGGTAACTACGGCAAATGCTGGAACGTTTCATATTTAGAAATATAGAATGTATGAGGACTCCATATTCCTTAACACATAAAGTAATGCTGAAATCAAATGATACGCACAGAAGGTTTCATAATAGGAATTAAAAGGATCTAATACCTCTTAGTGATAGCTATAAGAAAATGTTTTAGTATTGTTAATGATGAATAGGGAAAGCTTAGAGGATCCTGGCTGGTTGGGGACTGGCCACTGACGTTGGTGTGGATACCTGGCTGTGTTAACCTCATCGTCAGAGGATGCTTCTGGACAGGATACAGGACAGTTAACCCTGTTCAGGAGGGTCAGTGACTGACATGGGGCCAGGAGGGCAGGCAGGACTCACCTGCCAGTTGTCTTCCAGCATAAGGGAGGAAGGGAGGGAGCCGGTGTATGGGGACAGCGAGAGGGGGATGATGTGATGGCGACGGGTGGGGGAACACTTGACGATGGGTGCCTTGGTGACTTGACTTGATCATAGGTGCCTTGGTGACTAGGTGCCTTGATGACGGAGGATGGTGGTGACATGAGGACGGGTGACAAGGGTTGGGCAGGAGAAGCAAGGGTGACAGTTTTATGTGGAGGTATATAGACCTCTGTCCCCGTGTCTCCAGGGAGGGGAGGGGAGGGGTAGATGCTTAGGAGCAGGTTTATCAGTGCAGATCAAGAATTTATATTTATATACAATATGATATAACTATTTTGGTCATCGAGGATATTGCGCTACACTAGATCGAGCTGAATGTCCAGTGGATGTGATGATGAATTTAATTCAGTTTATTCTGGTGTAAGATGAATGTTTGCTGTAGTTGTGTCCTAAGAAGGCCGTTCATAATGAGATCAGTCTGAAGCAGTTTGAAGTCTAACACAGCAGATTATGAGCCAGGTTGTATCTTCTCCCCAAGATGACAGATTTTCAGAATAATTAAGCAGTGATGGTAACACAGCGAGATGTCGGCCATGCTCCAGCCAGCCACTTGAGCAAATCTATATCTGCTATCTGCATATTGGGACATGATCAGGTGAAACTCGCAACTTAAAGTGACATTGGATAGCAGGGATCGTGAAACCTAAATGCAAATAGGACAATATGAGAAGGTGACTGAGCAGGAATAGATGTCTCCTGCAGTTTATGAGGGCTCTTGATCTACAGGGATTAAGAGGACCTGCGCCAGGCTGACTAGATTCTTGCAAAAAGACACACAAACATGTAGTTGGTCAATGTAGGTGGATATTTTATACAGCTTTGTTTGCATTATCTCTTGAAAAATATTTACATGTTGAAATCACATTATTTGAAATACATAGGTATGAGTAACGGGAGGGTCATTTGGTCTTGATTGTTTCACTATTTGACTAGCTGAATGGCATCAGTTTCCACTCTTCTATAGGTCCGACATGAAAGTACTGAACATTGGATGGCCTCATTTATCATTCAGATGTTTCAAGGGACAAGTCTGTGTTAAAAATTTAATATCTGGGATTGTTGAGTTCATGTGTACCATGATGTTTGTTTTTGAATTGAAAGAAGAGTAGTTCATGGAGGTTTAATGTTGTCCTCTAGAATTGTTCTGCAAGTTTTGGGGTTGAATACAGATGTACTCTGAGAATTGAGATCATACAGGTGGGTCAGTAGTAGGTTCCTGAATACACCTGAGTGCACCACAGTTAGATTCACCAGACAGTATGAAGGGACGGAGTTACCTGAGAATATGACAGACTGATTTATCTGAGAATATGACACAGATTTACCTAGACTAACAGACTGATAGACAGATTTATCTGAGAATATAATGGACTGATTTGCCTGAGAATATGACAAGTTTTGCTTGTAAGTGTAAGATGCCCTCCATCATGTGAGACACATTTAGAAACCCCCCCCCCCCCCCCCCCCCCAATCCTCCTCCATCTCCCCGCTGGTGGACTACCTGATAGTGACTCCCGACAATGACTTTGGGTTTCTTGACTCTCCTTGTTGTGAAAGCCTCTTGTTCCCCCTCACAGTGAATTGCCTGCAGTTAGTGTGGGGCCTCCTCGTCCGCCAGTTCACTGTCTTACATGGCTTTCATATTTCAATAAGGGAAAACCATTTGCAGGAGAATGGGTCTTGGGTGAAATGTTTGGCTAGTGATGTGAGAGAAATGATGGACTACTCACACAATAGAATATTATAGAGCTAGCTTCATGATCCCCCGTGGTTTGAGGGGGCAGGCTTGGGATTGGGCAGGGGGAAGGGGATTAGCAGGCTTTAGGGGGCAAAACTGGCAGCAGTCACTTACATCAAATATTTCGTTTTTAAGTCATACAAAGAAAATTAAATTGAATTTACAGGCCATTGTGTATATTTTGTTTCACATTTGAACAGAATTTGATTTTTAATTATCTTTTGAATGGAAGAAAATATTGTTTTTGTTTTAAAAGTTTGAATTTGAATACAATCTTTCTGCAGCATTGAAAGTAGTCAGATTGTAATTAGGGGCTGATCTTTAAGTGATTGTTTTAAAAGCGCATTTAGTAGACCAGGTGGAGTCAGGTTAAAGTTAAATGCTAGTTGTTCCAGTATTTGCCTAAAGTTACTTTGTTTTGTGTTCTATTTATTTGTTTGGCTGGCAGTGCTGTAGAGTGTGGTCTGTGTGAGAGAGCTGCAGTAGCTACTGAAGGTACAGACAATGCCGCTACACTTGAACTATCTCCGGAATGTTGTTTGTTGCACTCTTGAATGGCGTGGGGAGAGGCCAGACTTGCTGGCTCCTGGGTCAGGGGAGATAACTCCGCTGTAATCTTACCCCTAGCCAAACATTGGCAGGACAGTTGATTGCGGCTGCACTTGAATGCAACAGTATGTATTGTTTCTGAGCTTTTCATCTTGAAAATGTCAATATTTATTACAATTTAGACCCAACAGAAAAGATCTGACTTTTTAAAGTTTATTTGAAGATGTGATAAAAGGATGCTAGCATGAGATGGTTCAATGTTTGTTAAGTTGTTCTTTTTTTAACATGAAGTATCCAGATGAAACTTGTGCTTTATATGGAGATGAAAATCTGTACAGAATACACAACAGACCACTGTCAATACTTTACATACTTGTTAACTATCTTATCCTATGATACCAGAACGTAATATATACAAGACTGTGAAGTATTGACGAGGATAACAGGCATTCATGAGGCTTAACAGCAAGATAACAGCTGATATGCATGATAACAATTATTGATATGCATTCTAAGTTGATGTGAAGGTCAGTGTGTTATGAGATGGTTCAAGTGTGGCGGCGGCGGTGGTGCCCCCGTGGTGTGTGGTGTCTTGGCACAGGGTTCCCAGTACTGGTGGCAGAGAAGCATGGCCAGAAACTCCCTCATTGTATCTTGTATCTTGTACCTACACAAATGATGTACCTCATTGTATTCATACAAGCATGGTACCAATTAGCAACACTTGTGTCTGTACAAGTCTTGTTCCCATTCAAATGATGTACCTCATTGTATTCATACAAGCATGGTACAAGTAAGCAACACTTTGTGTTGGTACAAGTCTTGTACCTTGTATTGATACAAAGCTTGTTGTGCTTGTATTGGTGTTTATTGTACTGTCAAATGTTGATCATCCCATTTGGAGTCATCTCAAAACTTTCATCGTGTTCATCAGATCCTTTAAAAGAATTATATCTGTTATAGACAACATCCTCATCCATATTAAGCTTGGAGAAGGATTGATTATTTCAAGGAAATTGCCAGTTTTGATATATTGTTTAAATAAAATCACTTTTACATGATTTTACAAAAATGTTTACAAATAACTCTTTTTGTGTGATCAAAATTACTTATTCTGAAGATTCTGAGATTTAAGCGGACTTGAGGACCTCAAAACCACATACCTGTATCTTATGGTCAAACTTTATTTTGTTGTTTGCGAACACTTTATTTTACAAGTATTAAAACAATGATGATATTTTCAAACATTTGACCCCAAACTATCTTTATAGAATGAAACTTAATGTTTTTATTTTCGAAATAACTATCCAGGCCCAAAGAGAAAACATGCAAAGTAAAGAATTGTGTTTAATTCAGAAATCTGTTTACTTTTTTCTCATGGATAATGGATAAAGATCACTGTTCAAAGAAAAAGGTATGGCCAACAATTGATCATTCTGTTCTCTTCATTAAATTGCATGTATTACATGTTTATGTCTTATATCAAAGTCAACCAGATATTCATGTAGATGATGTAATCCTTGTCATCAGTTGTGTCAAGAAAACCTGGAACATGTGTGTATGTGTGGGTCTAGGGGGGCGCGGGGCCCAGGTTGTCTAAGGTGCTGCAATTTGCTGTGCAGAGTTGCCTCCCTTAGGCATACCAGAAACCTATGATTGTGGGTTCAATTTTGGATTCACCCTGAATATGTTTCAAGGTTTGTCAGCACCATACCCGTGCTGGTGGGTTTCACCGAAGTAGTAAATGTCCAAGACCTGCGCTACTTTGATCTTTGCTCCCACATTAAGCTGACACGCCGTGATATAACTGGAATACTGTTTAAAGCAGCGTTAAACCAACGTCACTCACTCTATTTATGTGTTGATTTGCCAGGCTCAGACTTGTTTTAAAAGTTTGCACCAACTTGAGTCCACACTGAGATAAATACTCTACCTCGCCAAAGCTTTAATTCTCTTCTCTACCAATAGCAGTTTATTAAAACAAGAGTTAGGAACCATGGAATTGGGTAGCTATCAGTTGTTAAGACATTGGTAAAACAAGGCGGTATTTTTGTTATTATTGTGTTGATATTTATTTGTTTGCTGGCATTACACGGCAATGTAAAGTAAGATTGCTGATGACTGAAGAAGCAAATGGCAACTTGTTATTAGTGCTATATTTATTGTATTGTCAGCAGTGAGGGAGTTTTCAGCCAATCGGATTGTAGCATCTGTACAGTCAACCAATCAACTGTCAGTACTCAAACTACTGAACGTTATGGGGCAGTGATTCCCCCAAATTTATGAAATAAAACAAAAATGTGAATTTAAATATGTCTTGTGTTGTTTACATTTAGTTTAGTGTCACTTTGGACAAAAATGTAAAAATTCTACCCGTATCACTCGCTAAGTTAACTCTGACAGCTGTGAGACCGACATGATGCCAGAGTTCTATGACATCAGGACTCCATGGATGGTGTAATATCCAAGATCACTGAAACATCCTGGTTTACGGAATGTGAAAAAACCTAAATTGAAGTGCATACTGCATATCCATTTCACCAAGCCTAATGGCACATTTATTTTCAAATTTCTTTTTGGATTGAGAAAAAGAAAAGGTATGCTTATCAAGAAAAGTAATTAAGTAGAGAAGATATTGGGTTCTATTCCCATTTAACAATGTTTATGTTCAACCAATCAGATTGCAGCACACACTCCCATTCATTGCACATTGATGGGTTGTCACCAGGGTGTGACCAACCTTATAAATGCTGCTTCGCCATCATATCAAAGCTTTATATTTAGAGCAGTCCTCGGGTATTTGGTATATTTACTAGTTTATATAACCAGGGAGCCCAGATAGACACTGTTACAAGGAAAAAGATGGTACCTGTTGTTACCCTTGCTGGCTGTCCACATAAAGGGGCTAAAACAAGGGCTGGTCGGCTCGGAGTTGGTATACTCTGTCTGAGTGGAGTATTCATGTTAAACTGTGGCATGGTATCTCAGTGAGCTGGCACTATAAATCGGCATTGGTCCGGACTAGTAGAAGCAGCCACAGACACACACGTTCATGCACGTAGCTATATTAGTGCAATAATCTTGGACGCGACGTTAAACCCAATTTCATCCCACTTCATCTGTTACAAGGAGACCAAAGATCAGTTGCCCAGGTGTCCTGGTGCAGTGTTATACCCACCCTAACTGCTACACCACCATGTTGGCCACATGTATCAAGTCCAGACATGGAGACCAAGTGTTGAGGGTGAGTGTGGGATTTGAACCCATGACCAGCTGATAAGGGTTGACGTGGCATTACACCACCATGTTGGCCACATGTATCAAGTCCAGACATGGAGACCAAGTGTTGAGGGTGAGTGTTGGATTTGAACCCATGACCAGCTGATAAGGGTTGACGTGGCATTACACCACCATGTTGGCCACATGTATCAAGTCCAGACATGGAGACCAAGTGTTGAGGGTGAGTGTA